ATCTCTAATCTGCAATATGGTGTCCTAATATTTTTTGCTCCACGGGTATTGTAAGAGTGAGCAAGGTCGTTTGTAACAAAATTAGCTTTATTTTTATGAATTTCCAACAGTGTCACGAAAATGAATATGGATGGTAATGGCATAATGCGCAATTGCTTAAAGTAGGGTTGACAGTGCGCACGATATTCAGCACCTACCATCATGCGAATTACTTTTTTTTTAAGAATAAAAACTTTATATACTTTAGATGAATTACCCCACAACATAACACCATATTGCAGATGGGAGTGAAATAGTGCGATGCGCTTACCGCCTGTACTATTGGAGCAATAGTTAACGAGGTAATTGAAGTCAAATGCGATAAGAAACGACATTTTGCATTTTTTCTTCGTTTTTGTTTATACATAACAATATATTCCGGGAGTTTTCGGCTAGAGGGACTATGATTTTCGGATTCAGCGGATCTTTTTACATATAGTACACTTGATTTCGTTGAGTGAAATGACAACACTCAGCCCAATCTGCCCAAACTGTAATTTGACTGGACTTATGAATATTGACACAATAAATGCGATCGCGTGGCATTTGACGTCACTTTCATTCGTCCAATAGTGAAGCGTTTCGCAAATGTGAATTTCGTTCGCTTATTTTGCAGTTTTGAATTAACATTTTTAGCAATTAAAAACAAACTAAATAAGAAACTAATGGTTTAAGTATAATGTTTGGACAATAAATATTCGCGGGAGAAAGAATCAAGTAAATTTAAACCACATTAATATTCCCTATTCGATGGCTTCTTGCCGCAAATTACTTAGTTCTGCTTTAAAAATGTGACATGATTTTGATGTTTTTATTTTGCTTCTTTCTGTCATAGTAGGGGAGCTCGAAATCCACTGAACGAGAATGATCAAAATTTTAACCGACGGAGTTCCATTTTGCCCTATCCGAGTATGCTAAAATCGACCGTGTGCCGCCTCAGGTCATATTACTTACTGCGCTGCGGGTACTTCTTGCGGTACGTACGCCTAATTCTGGATTCTGGATTACGATAGGAGGGTGAACAGTGTCCACGCGTACTTAGGCCTCAAATTCGGGCCCTTTGTACTACCTCCCTGACTAGGGTCGCCCGACCCCTCAACATCACTCAAGCCATCCCACACGTGAGATGAACCTTAGGACGCTGAAAGGGGAGGCGGCTCTAATCGTAGCCATGTCCGGCCAGGATTCCCCCAACATGGATCGTCTCAGTTGGACTAGAGCGGGACATTCACAGAGTATGTGGTATGCCGTCTCGTCGTCTGTGTAACATCCTCTACAAGATGGTGATTCCACCAAACCCATGCAGTGCATGTGCTTGTTTAGTTTACAGTGCCCAGAAAGTGCCCACGAGTAACCTCAGGTTCTTCCTTGATAACCCTGTACAAAAACGCGCCAAGCTACGAGATGGTCCTCTGAAGGCTTCTCTCGCATGGCGACAATCTAACATCTGGTTTAATTATTTTCATTGTTTTGTTGCCTCGAATAGATTTTGTTTTTTTTTTTTTTTTTTTCGTCCCAGACTACTTGATTAAAATACAAAAACCGTTATATAATTGGTATCTTATTTTCAATCTTATGTTATGATGGCTCGTTGAAAAGAGAATTAAAAAATCTATCAAGTAATCTAAAAATCCAATATGGCGCCCATTTAACTTTAGGAAGTTGGTAAATGTTCCTCAAAAGTGGCCATCTTAAATTTTTTTTGACATCAATTCTAAATTAAGCGTATCAAAGACTGTCACTTTTATATACCTAAAACTTTTTTTTATATCTCTTATAAAGTATAATACTTTCGATGATATAAGACATTCAAGGAAATGACCAATTGAATTTATCGAATACACCCCCCCCCAAGCAAAATTGGGGTCCAGAAAATTTTTTTAAAATTTGCAGTAAAATAAATGGGTTTTGAAACAATTTCAGTTCGTAGATTTTTGAATACATTATTGGTCTAAAGGTGTAAGGCTTATCTAAGTCGCAAATATCATTAGTTATCATCACTTATCTTATCTCCGTCTCCTATCCTGTACCGGAGTGCCGCTCCCCTCTCACGAGCAGTGCCTGGAGCAGCGCTCCGCTGCGCCCCGGCTCTACTACACCACTGCTTATGTTATTGAGATGCAAAGTTATTAAATTGAAGGCGGTAGGTATTTTGCTCTACAACGTATACATAAAGCTCTCGCGCTCATACCGACGGCTGACTATTTTTTGGGTGGGGCGGGCGTGTTTGGTCCTTACAATTTGTCTAATGAACTATAATTGTTGTCCTAAATAACATACATGAAAATCAAGTAGGTATTTAAATATAAGTAAAGTTCATTAATTTTAAGCATCTGTAAGAAGTTGTGGTGAGCGGAATGTGTCCGACGATACTCGATACTACTTTAGAGTGATATTTTAGAAAATATAAAAATCAGCCATACAAATATAAGTGAAGTGGTTCTTATCTTCCTCACCTGGTATCTCTGTGTTGGTCACAAATTCAACTCTATAAAGCGTTCTAAGTACATGAGACACTACTCAGAACATGTTCAACGATTTATTTATTTGTTCAATCCTGTCATTGAAAACAAGTGTTTCTTACTTAGATACCAAATGTGAAAGTTTTTGTTTTACCCATTCAAACTATTTCCATAGCAACGGGTGAGCGAAAAGAGTGAGTGAAAAATTTCCACCCACTCATAATACACATACGCTGAACTTTTATTTATTCATAATTCATCACTAATAGATACAAAGCAACAAAATTACTTATAAATATGAAAATTAACATTACAATAAATTGTTAAAAATTGGTTGATTGATACCAGGGACTTGAACTTTTCCACTTCCACTTCTCTTTGATCAAATGTCTTCGCTTTTTTAGGTTGATAACCCTTAGAATTACTTTTTAGAATCGCGAACAAGGTTTTAAACCTAAAACATTTCATATATTACAACCAGTAAATTAATAATGAACTAAAACTTACTTGCTTTCTCAAAAACAAATAGGGTGCATTTAAGCATCGACAATATAGACCATAAAGAAGGGGCAGCGTATTTTTGTATCAATCCATTGAAATAAGCAACCACTACTTCTTCAATTACAACATTTACGTTTCTGTTCTCCTTCCACGACCGAAATTTTTCCAACTCCTTGATGTATCTGTCTGGATTTTTTCGGTAATAAATTAAATGTCGCTGCATTCGCTTCTTCCAAAATGTTATCTGGCACAAATACACTATTTTCATCTTCCATTTTCTTGGAAATCTAAACGCGCACACTTTTGCTACAATTATAATTTGTTGACAGATTGTGTCAATTGTTTTACGCATATCTCATGGGAACCATAACAACGAAAACTACCTACTATGTTTTTTTCAGATGCTTAAAAAATAACTATTACACTGTTTCTTTTTAAATTTTTATTAGTAACAGGATTGAACAAAACGCTATACAGCACTCGTGGAAAACTAAATCACTCACTTGTGTGTCGTTCCACACTCGGCTACGCCTCGTGTGTAATCTCGACACACGCGTGAGTGAAACTTTTAGTTTCTCCACTTGTACTGTAATATACTATTAATAGTTATTTATTATACAAGAAATAGAATGACAGATGTCATTATAATGCACAATCATCTGTTTCACTTTATCTACCCTTACGGTTGAAGTGATCACTTTATCTATCCTTGCGGTTAAAGAACGGCTTAGCCTACTCATTCCATTCCAATCCGCCACCGAGCTCAGGACACAACGTAATGTAACGTCCTTAAAAAATAATATTGCTTTTCCTGTAGCGTATGCTTTATAAAGGAATCGATTATCGTCTCTTTCGTATTTTTCTAATATGCGGGAATAATCATTAAACATAAGGCGAACTATTGTATTACTAATTGTTCTTTGATGCCCATCGCCACTTCCATGTCAGTATACGGCGAATACGCCAGAAGCCGATATGCGTTCTAATATCAGATCTAAAGGTTACAGCTAATATAGGTAGTAGCGTTACCAATTAGTATAAGAAAGAAACTATGCTAGGTCACGTTCCATTGCAACTTTCGAAAGAAGTTGCATCTTTTATTACGCGTTAAACGGTTAAAGTTGGTCATAAAAAGCAGCATTGAAGCATTGATATCGTTACGAAACCAGATGCACTGGTCTTTTAATGAAAATAGTTCAATCTTAAATGCATCTTAGCTTACAACTTTTGTTTGATAATTTCTAGAGCAAAACGCAAAAATTAGAACTGTAATCAAAAGCACAGATCCCGAAAAAATGTCAATCTATGGTAAACGTTCTCTGCTTTGAAAAGTAAATTGTGGACTGTGATGAACGCTACTCCAGTTGGTCAAAGCCTGTCGTTACGCATTTTGTAGTTACTGAATGCTGGAATTGAATGCATTTTTACAAGTATTTAATTTAATTGTAATTTTTGCTGTGTTTTCCACATACTTAAGAATATGACTGTAAATTTGGAAAGAGAATAAACGTTATAATGAGAGAGTATAGTAATATCAAATATAAAAATATTCCTAAGATGTAATGTAATGTAATTTGGCCAAGTTTGCTTACAAGTCAGTTATTTGAATTTCAGCGTAACTAGAGCCATCTAGCTCTCATATCTTATATGAAACAGAACTGATCACTATTTACTAAACACTATAAAAAAGTCAAATGTAATCCCTGAAGCGTGCAGTCTAACGAAATACAGAAGATGCTCAAATATTTATTTAACATAAAGGTGTACCTATTTCTGTGATTCTGTGCAACCGGTCAGTTGAATTGTCTAGTCGATCATGATGTTTTAAAAGCCTGGTTGCGACCACCGAGGCTTTTAAAACATACAACATACAAATACTTATCACGGCCAGAGCTTGCGAAAAGTGCTAATAAACCGGCCGAAAATCTTTTAAATTCGCACTATACTCCAAACCAAGTTCAATATAAATATAAAGTGTATTACACGCATTGTACTTACCATACAACATCCGGTCTTGTTCTCAACATGTATTGTGCTGTAAAAATATAACCAGTCACTGCTGCTCCAATTAAACCAATGATGGGCCATAACTGAAACAATTTTGTAATATGAATTATTTTTTCTAGTGCGTCTATGTCAGACAATGGACTACTGGAACATGACTTGCATGGATCTATTGTTCAAGTAAATGGTAGCCATTCTGGTTCATCTGGGCGCAGTACGCCTAATAACACAAACGATCCAGCCCCGGGAAAGTTGTTTGTTGGGGGACTAAGTTGGCAGACATCTTGCGAAAAACTTAGAGAATATTTTGGAATGTTTGGAAACGTGACTGATGTACTGATAATGAAAGACCCAGTTACACAGGTATGGTAGCGATCTGGCGGTTTGTGAAAACTGATTATGATTTATTTTTGTAGCGGAGTCGAGGATTTGGTTTTATAACATTTTCGGAACCGTCTAGTGTAGATAAAGTATTGAAAGTACCCATTCATACTTTAGACGGTAAAAAAATCGATCCTAAGCATGCCACTCCTAAAAATAGGCCCAAACAGCCAAATAAAACAAAGAAGATCTTTGTAGGCGGAGTAAGTCAGGATACATCCGCCGAAGAGGTTAAGGCGTATTTTAGCCAATTTGGTAAAGTAGAAGAGACAGTCATGCTGATGGATCAACAAACCAAGCGTCATAGAGGTTTTGGTTTTGTCACTTTCGAAAATGAAGATATCGTCGATCGTGTGTGTGAAATTCATTTTCATACAATTAAGAATAAGAAAGTTGAGTGCAAGAAAGCTCAACCCAAAGAGGCGGTGCAAGCCAATGCACAGCTATTGGGGAAACGTTTGATGTTAAGTAGTTTAGGTATGCGCATGGCAACTCCTGCGGCAGCCGGACCTATTGCTGCCGCCAATCAATTGGCTGTGGTACAAGTTCAAGCGGCTCAGGCCGCCGTTGCAGCAGCGGCCGCTGCTCAGGCTCAAAATGCCGCCGTAGCAGGATATGGAAAATTATTCGGGACATATCCTCCATTAGCCAGTTACCGCTATACCCCTTATCCGATTCCTGCTGTAGGTGCAGGAGTTGGAGCTGCCGCCGCGGGCGGTCCTACACCTGCACCAGCTTCCGCAACTGGAGCCCCTGCTTTGGCTCCGGCAGTAACTGCAAGTCCTTATCAAGGCTATAATCTAACAAATGTAGACATGTCTAGTTTTCAAGGGGTCGATTGGAGTTCCATGTACGGTATGGGAATGTACGTTTGAGTACATTGTCATTGCTCACTTTCAGGTTTTTTACATATTTTATTGTTCACATTGTAAGCCTTCATGAGGTTACTGGACTTCCAAAACTGTTTCCAGTTGTCAATGCGGGCGCGTTGTGCCTATTTCGACTGTGCATTTTGATATTATTAATAGTGTAAACTAATCTCTAATGGGCAGAATAGCTGTACATTGTAGGTGATACTGGTCTCTGCTCATTTTGCATTCAGCAATAACTCGCAATAAACAGTATTACAACACTCATTAATCGCAATATTTCGAGTTTCCGAGTTGTAAAAACGCATTTTTGTAATAAACAAGTTTGATGAAATTGTACTTTGGCAATAGTTAAAATGACTAAAATTTGTATTTCAGTTGCGGTGAAATATTATTGTACTTACCAAATTTGTACTTAATTTTGATCACAAAAATGTATATTATTAATAACCTTCCACTCGACTGTAGGTTGCTTAAGGCGTTAGACTTAATTTATTTATACTCTTCATATAAGATCTCATTTCACGGTAGGCGGTAAGAATCTCCTCTATTTATTGCATTCAGCAATGCCATAGCTTGCCGTCTCTGGCCATTAATTTATTATTTGCAGCTCTAGTCAAGGCAATCTCGGCCTGCATTATTACATGCTATATACTTAGACCTACCAACATTCCGTAGCAGCTATCGATGAAGTATGTGTTTGCGGACCAAAGCGTTTCTTGCCTGGCCAAAATGCCATGATACAACAAAGCTAAGAGCACTTTCAGAAAACATTCGGCAGCTATGTAAGACACTTTATTTTAAATTCCTTTGCATGTGCTAAAATTGCTCTTAGTTTTGACTAGTTAGTATTACTTTTTACACTATTTTTTATTATTTTTTTTTATTAAAATTGTATGTATATATAAACTGCCGCTTGTGAATGATCTATTGTTAAACTTTGTGATAGTCTCCAGGCAGCAGGTGTACGGAATTTATTTTGGAATTCACACATGCTATCTATTTTGTCTTATTATCCTGTATTGTATTTGTTGTGCCAAAATATTTCTCGCTCAAGGCTCACTACAGGCATTTAGAACGAAAGCATGTGAGTAAGCCAAAATAACGAAAAACTAATTTTTTGTGTAAATGATATCCAGTTAACAGCAATAAGCTTGAGACAGAATGAACCCTCTATTTTTGTATTGGATTATAAACGTTAAAACATAATAAAATTTAGTTTTCACTTGTTAAGTAAGCCCTTGACTATGTGTGTATGTAAATATACAACTGTAGTTTCTGGAGGGTTGGTCTGATATTGTGGTACTGCAGACCTAATTATACCTGCGTAGATATTTATGTTTAGCTGTTTGTCGATGTATTAAAAGTTACTTGTAGATCTATAAGAACTGTATTTGATAGTACTAGAGTTAGTGTTTGTAGTATGTATCTGTGTGTAGTGTAGATGCGACTTTAGTCGCAATTTGCACTGTAGAGCCGTTACGAATAAAGTAGTTCCATAAAGTAGCGTGCTGCTTGATCATTCCTGATGCTTGACTGACCTAGACATTTGGTCAGACCAACATGGTTGCTATTAACATAGAGTCTAGTCTAATCACCGCTTTCTGTGATAACAGTCTGGTCACTCACTGCACGGTCTGTGTGTAGATGTGTCTACGTGCCTTACCGCGCTGCGGACCTGACAATAGAAATTGGGCATCGATGGATGTAACGTAGAATCGTTGTAGAAGTCTAGACTGGCCTGTTGAATGTGTATGCCTTTTTGCAGTAGTCTATGTTATTTTTTAATAATCATTGACCAAGGAAAACTAAAACATTTGTGCTCTTTAAAAAAACATACTTGCCTTGTTGTCTTCCTCAATCATAAGCATCACAATTGTACATTGATTCCAAAATTGTGTTCCATATCTAGTTTTGTAGTTTCCATTTTACATTACATATAATATATATAGTGATAAATTGCTATCACAGTTCAAGTAGACGTAATACTTATATCTTTCATAGTAGCTACATATCTTACCCTAGAGTAGACTACAATTACCTATTCTTTTTGAATGTAGAAATCGATCGAAAAGTATGAGGAATTGTTTTTATTCCAAACTGTGTATAACTAATGTGATGTACAAATATATCGTTAGTAATCTTAGTTACTGAAACCAATTAAACGTAATAAAATTTGTCAATTAGTTGCTTGATCAAAATTTATTGCTCCACCCCCATTAACTACAAACTAAATTAGAGCTTTCCACATTCCATCATGTAGCTGTATTAATTATTATTAATGTATTTCTATGAAACTATAGGTACAGTATGCCCTAATACAAGTACGTGGATAACAAATATCAGTTTGAACTACTTTGACATTTAGCAAATGTAGAGTACACTAATTTATTAATAACAGTGTCATTCATGGGAAATAACATTACTCAATTTTATGGACACTTAAAGGTTTTATCATTTTTATTGCTAGTGTGGATGCACTTGATTCTTACAGCAGGTAGAACAAGCACAAGATATATGATAGGTTTATACAATCATTAGTTCCTGATCATTAGATTATTATGAAACAGCCAATAGCGTTTATTGTGCGTCACGAAGCAACGAAACCATACCTTTGTTTCTATTGGCTATATCTTAATGGTCTAGTAATTTAGTGAACTAATGATAATCATTATATAAATCCACCAATATAATCACATTAGGCATAGACTGCAAATTGTAATTAGAAAGGACGACTTTTCAAATTCATCTCTGTGGTAGCATAGAGTAAATAATATATTTACTCTATGGTGGTAGGTAGTAATTCACTTTGTTATGTAAAAATGTATTTAGTTTTAAGAAGCTTCATCCAAACTTGAAACATTGAAAGACACATCGCAATGGTGAGTAAAATATGATAAACACAACTACTATGCTTTCATAATAGTTGGAGTAAAAGATGCCCAGTATTTCTAGAGTTAACCGATTCCTGTATTACTAAGAGCATAAGTATTTATTGCGTTCATAACTACGACAAAATAGGACGCATTCAATTGGTAATCGCTGCAAATGGTGAAAGCTGTGTATACTCAAGTTTAAAATCACCATTTACAGATCTTCCAGGGGCCGAGGTCTGGATGGAACAGACGAGCACATAAGCATTACCTCAACTTCGCTGTATTACGCTAAAATAAAATAAAATAGCGAAAGTGTCATTGTGTAAATTATACAGTTTTCATATGAAAATCGACCAAAATTTAAAATAACGAATCTTTTTAAATGTTTAAATCCATTTTTTTTATTTCACTATCTGACAATAGGATGATTAAAGTACAACTCGCACCATTTGTTTTCCGTAAGCCACTTTGATTTTTTAAGTCTAAATGTACCTACTTCAAAATAGACTAACCAATGGTTACAGTGGGAGCAAGAACTACACTCATGCGCAGTTAGGTATCAGTGTGGTCGTTGATCTGGTTATCGTGGTTATCTTCTGAGAATTCACACCACACAACTCCCAAAGTTGATCCAGCCCCAGACTAAAGCTGCTCGAAGTTTAATCCGGCATTTAAATGTGGAAGTGTTAGTTCATAAAGATTTACCGCACCACCAGCAACCTTTTATCTAAGCATATATTATGTAATTGTAAATAAGTCTTAAAAAAAATTAATAAACCCATAAAAAGCGGCAGAGCACTTCGGTCTGACCCCACGGAGTCATTGGATTTGACCCATTTTCAATTGGCTTGTTACATGTGGTATATATGTGTTAACTGTGCAACGTTTGAACCGAATAGGTTCAAGCGTTTGCCAGAGGCAGAGAAGCGTGACCCCTCGGGGGTCATTGGATTTGACCCATTTTCAATACGCTTATTACATGTGGCATATAGGTCAAATGTGCAAAGTTTTAACTAAATAGGTTCAAGCGTTTGGCCGAAACAGAGAGGCGTGACCCATTGGATTTGATTTGACCCATTTTCAATAGGCTTATTACTTGTGGCATATATTGTAGGTCAACTGTGCAAATAGTTTGAACCAAATCGGTCCAAGCGTTTGACAGTTATCGTGTTCACGGACGGACACCTTCGATTACCTATTGCTAAAAACAGAATTAGAAATTCGAAACTGAGTGAGTTATCGTGTCTACAGACGGACGGACAAAAAGTCCAAAATCATAAACTCGCTTTTTGTCGCTTGTTAATAATGTTCATAATAGCAAATTTTAGATATTTGACTGCCCCGGGATCTCGCTGGCAGACATGACTTTTTCTACTTTACTATATATCAGGATACTTTACACAACAAATCAGCCATGTAGCGGTAAGTCACTTTTTTCAGTAGCCAGCTCTTGGACTATAAGCAGTGGCACTTCCAGTTTAGCTTTATATCCAAGCACTTTTCCAGGTATTTTCCTGATTGTTGCACTGGAACATTAGCAAGAAGAGATAATTCGGTGGTGGGAAAAATAGAAGAAAATAAAATACAGTAGGTACCTACGTTTTACTAAATGAAACTTGTTAAAATTAAACCACTCCTGAAGCATCGATAGAATTCCACTTGCCTGTTGTTGTAAATCAAGAATAGTTTTACCGGAAACTGTTACAGTAGTGTCATCTACATACATGATTACAGAATTCAAATGAAAACGATATCGTTGATAAATTAAAAAATCTCTAATTTTTCAACCAAGACTTTATGGTTGACACCGTCAAAAGCCTTTGATAGGTCACAAAAAATTCCTAGTACATGTCGCTTATTCTCAAGGTGGGAAATTATGTCGTTGACAAACGACTTTATAGCTGACATAGTGGAATAAGTGGTTCGGAATCCGTGTTGTCTGTTTGTTATGATATTATTTTTATGTAAATGACCAGTTAACCTATCGATACTCGCAAACCTTTGACAGCACCGGACTGACAAGATATAGGCCTATAGTTGTTACCCTCGTGCGTTAAACCTTTCTTGTAGATTGGATGAACTATAGACATTTTTAATTGAGCGTGAAAAATACTTTGAGGAAAGATAAATTTATTAGAAACGTTAACGGAGAAATAATTATTTGTGCAATACATTTAAAAAAATAAATAAAAAATATATAATGTGACTGATTACATGCGTCTCACGCGATATTTAACAAAAAACGTCTTATAGCCGGGATGAGTAGGTTGTAAGGAAGATTTTAAGCCTTTGACCGGGTTTTCAATTTCGTTCTACGCCGTTTAAAACGAAATTTTGAAAAACGCTCAATATTGAAATTATAGAAAAACTGCATGCAAACGTTAGGCAACACATCATGCTACATGCCCTCGGCAAGTTGCCTTTAATTGCTTCTTTTCCATTGGTTGCATTATTAACACTTTGTGAAATGGGCGTGTTTACTGCAACAACGCATAATCATAATCATGATCTTTATTGATCCAATATATCCTTATCCAGTTTTGAATGTAGGACAAGTCAGACATCACGTAAAACTGCTAAAAACTGCATCGTAAGCTTAGGGCACATATACATTAAATAATCATAACTTTCCATTGTTTGTGCTACTACGGTTATGATTGTTATGAAATTAGTAGATTAGATTGTGTATAGTAAAAGCTAAACCATTGAATATCCAGGATATTCAATGGCTAAACTTTCCCGGACTACATAGGCAAGGCCAACAAGCATTGGAGTCCGGGAATTTGGTTTTACTACGAGGTACCTCGACGAGGTACACATACTATTTTTTTTTAAATGGCAATCAACATCGCCATAAATTAAGGAATGTTGGTAAATGCATAAAAATTTTTGGTACCTATAGAATTATACTTACCGACGTATAATCTGACACTCAAAGTAATTTCTTTATAATAATAAAAATGGAATCAACAACGGATATTAGGTAAACTCATCTTTTGATAAGTATAGAGTCAAGTAGGTACAGTAGGATATCGTGGAAAAACAATTTGGGATATTTTGATACCCATTAAATAGGTAATTGTTTTCGTTTTCCCCAAAAACGTTTGACGTCAAATGTTTTTTGAAGGTGTATTATCTGCAGAAAATTAAATTTAAAAAAAGCTAATTACTTTTGGGTGTGATATTTAAAAAATAAATAACTAGATATAGTCGTTAGTCTGTGAAATAAATTGAATGAAAAAGGAGTTAGCGAGATTATTGTTACTACTGCACGTGCGGTTACGTTTCTTGGCGTTCGAAGACATTTAAAACTCCTATAATGTGGTATAGCTCTTAGTTCACCGCGACATCGATAAACAAGAACCCTCCTACGTCTTAGCAGAAACCTTATGTGTTAGAACGGCAAAGATATACAGTGTGTAAAGCGATGGGGTATACAAGAGGAAATTGTTTTAAAATATTGATTTATGAAAAAAATTTATTCTTCGATTGTTTGTGGTTTGATAGCAATACGCTATCTTGATTATAATGTAAAATGATAACTTTCAATTAAAAAAATTAATTTTATTATTTTTCCAGATTTCCATAAATAAATTTTAGATTATCGAAACGTTATTGGTACTTTCAAAGCAAGCAAAAAATATCATGAAGAATAAATTTTTTTCATAAATCAATATTTTAAAAAAAATTCCCTCTTGTATACTCCATCGCTTTACACACTGTATAACCTCACGAGCAATATAAGCCGTTATTGACATTTATTCATGTCATCGACATATAGGCATTCAAATACAACATAAGATCAATTTAATACATTTTTCAGTAAATAAATACGAAAGCGGTTTTCCTTCAAAAAGTATCCTTCCGAAGTATACAAAAAACCCCTGGAAGTATACAACAAAAATATAAATACATAAAAATAAAAATAAAATTTGAATTTGAATGTTTGAAAATTGTTTGAGAAAATGTTGGAATAATAATTTGATCACATCTACTACACAGACAGTAGGTACCTATTAATTACATTCCAATTATCAAATGTAAACATCATTATGTTATTTGTATAAATAATTATAGTTTATTAATGACTATATTGACCTTCAACAATTGTAGGCATCCTAAAAGTTGAATATTCTGGCAGGTAGGTAATTAACGTTTCTCCGTCTTGATTTCAATGAGCGGTGTTAAAACTTCGGTCGTCGTCGGTACGACTGATACAGGTTTTACCAATTTGCCGCTAACATAAAATAGTTATGCAACTTGTCATACTTCAATCTCCAAGATAAATCTACTGGAATCTCCCCCTAAGGCTCCTCTGTAGTCAATCCGCCATATTGGAAAAATAGCTAAACTTTCTTATGAAATGCTGCTTTTGTAGTTGAAGTCTAACAAATTCTCGATAGTGGATATTCTTTGCAATGATGAAAAGAACGGCGGTACTTAAAAAAATTGAAATATCGGTCTTAGTTTTTTAGGAAGATCGATGAATAGAAAAATCGTTTTTTGTAGATAACAGCCGTTGTAATGAGGGTAGAAAAACGTACAGCACCAATTTGGAAATCCGACAGTATTTCTTACGGCGGTAAGTACTTAAAGATATTATTTCGATCTATTATGATAAGGCATATATTTTAAAAAATATGTTTCGCGACTTCAGAAAAAAATCAAAACGCTAACGTAAGGATAGGCAACTCAAATTGCACTTATAACGCCTGAGGCGACAACTCATTACTTGATAGGGAAAACAAAAGAAACTACCTGGCATTACCCTACACATTGTTACGCCGCTCCTGATGATATGGATTAGATAAATTACTATTTATTATCTATTTATTTGAATGCTATTGATTTGTAAATCATAATGTCACGTATTCCCAAGACGAAAAATGGATATCCTAGTATAGGTACATTGGAAATAATTTTTTATTTCTAAAACCTTTTGCATCCCGTCAGGATGCTTCAAGAAATTAAAAAAAACCCTATAATGAGGCTGTAATAATATTTCCCTTTGACGGGGAGGGGGGTACGTACAAAACTAGATACTTCACATATTATATCATAAGTAGTGCTGAATATGAACTCTGTTTTATAACAATGCTTTCAAACTACCAGAAGCGTAGCACTTTGTTTAATTAGATCAAATCAAATATGATTAAATTACACGTTTGTGTATATTTTCCATCTAAAATTATCAGTTTCCTCAGATAGTCCAGTATACGGAGCAGTCAGAAGGGCCGATTCCTGCAAAATGTAGTGTAAACGATTTTAACGTTTTAAATGGCCCATTTGGGTACAAATTCTGTGTCGATAAAAAAAAAACAAACAAAATCGGTCCAATAGAAAAATTTTTACAAGCGATCAAAAAACGCCGATTTTTTCCAACTTTTCTAAAGAACTGAGTTAACCTTTTTTTAATGCGCTGTGGCTCCTAAAGGAACGATAAAATCCACTACCCCTCCTTCCTAAAGATTGTAGAACATCAATCAGAGAGTTCAAAAAGTACCAACTATTTAAAATTGGACCAATTTTTGAAATTCGTTGGAAAAAATGGGCGTTTTTTGATCGCTTGTAAAAATTTTTCTATTGGACCGATTTTGATTGTTTTTTATCGACGCATAATTTTGTTTTCTTTACTTTACTAACGAAGTGTTATTCATAAAATATGAACCGTTTTCGAGTTTTAAGCGAAAAACTAAAAAAATTCCAAAAATTTTGAGGTTTTTTGGGGTTTTAGGATCTACCATACCTAAGTGAATTCATTCATGCACATGTACCTAATAACTATAAAAATCTATAAATCAGTAAAAATGATTAGAACAAATCACAAGAAATAAAGGGGTAATTAAAAAATGTTATAACAAACAATGCTAATCTAGTCCACTAATTACCTGAAAACCAGGTAATTTCCAGAAGGTGTCATTATACAAAAATGCAGTAAATGCATTGAATAAGTAATTTATTGAATGGTAACAGAAATAGGTAAAAATATTGTACAGCTTTTCGATAAACTTGTTTACATAATTAGTCCTTGATCATTATACATGGTCTACTGTGTTTAACAATAAATGAAGAGAATATGCAAAACTGAGAAGGATAGATACATCGTTGGTTTCACTCAAGGAGATCATGTAGCAGTGTGTATTTGTTGGTGGTCTAACCAATTGCAATAACACTGAAATACAAATTGACTACAGAGGAGCCTTAAATATTGAGGATAAAGTGCTGGATACAATTTCTATAGTTCGTATAAATGTTTAATATTTCAGATTTATTTATTTATTATTTATTATTCCTCTCTTGTTCTGGGCCCTCAACAGGCTTGCGCCCAATTACAGAGTGACCCGCATAATGCTTTTTAGAGGTGCCTCTGCAGAAGGTCTTAAGTTGTTCTATACTACTCCGGTATTTGCCTTACGAATTAGGAAAACTGCAGGAAAACCTAATTCGGAGTAGCCGGCAGAATGCTCGGAACTGGTCTAAGGTAATTCCCATCTCTGCCACAGATGAAAAATTCACCTCAACCCAGTTTCGAACACACGACCTCCGGATTTATAGTCCAACGCTCTACCACTGAACCATAAAGCCGGTTTACGATACGAAGAATGTAGGTATGGAAGATAAATTTTAGCGAACTAAATTTCCCACAAAAAAACTGCGGACAGTATATCCCTTTGGGACTAATAAACTAAACAAATATAGAAAACGAGCTCCTGGGTATGGCTATAGCATGTGCAAAACCAAATTTTGAACCTGATGTTAGTTTTGCTTTTATTTCAACTGTATATGTATGAAATTTCATTTAATTGCTTCCATAAATAGAAAGTTGGCGCTTCACATCCTATACAAAACCAAATTTGGAAAATGCCGCTACATTTGCTTTTATTCCAAGTGGCTATGTATCAAATTTCATTTGAATGCCTCCATAAATAAGAAAGTTGCCACTGCGCATGCGCAAAACTAAATTTTGAAACTGTCTTTAAATTTGCTTTTATTCCAAGTGGCTATGTATCAAATTTCATTTAAATACCTTCATAAATAAAAAAGTGTATATTCGGTTTATAAATGGTCGAGATGCGAAAAGGGCACTGTGAATGTTGATCGATTAGGCTCAATTTTTGGAATTGCGTTTTATATGGCTAAAGCTATACGCATATTGAATTTCATGCAATTCGGTTCATAACTCACGGTGATGTCAAAAGGGCCTTCCTTATTTTTTGGGCTACTTTGCCAATTCATGAACTCCGATCTACAAATTTGATAAAGAATCCATGTACTAAATTTTATCGTAATCGGTCCATTCGTTATCGAGATATCGTCCTAACGGATGGACAGACTGCACAAAATTATAAACTCGCTAAGAGCTCGTTAATAATTATATTAATGAGTGTTTCACGCGATATTGTCGATTCTCTCTGCTTTATCATGTACAAGAAAATAACACTTGGAAGGTTTTCGATGCGCCATAGTAGAAATAAATTCGACGGCAATTTGTAACTTTGTGCTAATTATGAAACTTACCTCTTTATGGTGTCGATGGAAAGTGCGTAGGTCTGTTGCAAAAAGCATGTTCGTGTTCTAGAAGTGGAAAAGTTAGTTAGCCTTAATAAATGTTGAAAACAACCTCAAAATTCACACTTGTGAATACCGGTTTCGTTTGCGGCGACCCTTTAAAGATTTTTGTGAATCACAATTCAACTTCAGTTGACGTCAATCAAAAAATCGTTTGTCTCTTGGATCAAATCTATGTATTATCCTCAGACCATACTATACTATATGGTCTAAGGTATTATCACAAACTTTGCATTCTCCGTAACCATTTTTGACCCTTCATCCGAACGTCCGTCCATTAATAAATATTATGTTAGAGCAATCGGTTTGATGGTTTGGCAAACACCTGTTAGCATCTTAGTTTGCTGTATGCTGAAAAGTGCTATCGGAATAGGTAGGAATAAATTTCGACATGCCACTAAAGGGGAAATCCGCCTTGTCGATATGGATTGACGTATATATAGAAGATTTTAATAATTGGCCCGTTATTCCTGCACCTCGCATAACAAAATCAATGGTAGCCTCTGCTATTGACCATTTACAAAACAAACAAACAACCGGATATGATAACATACCAACATTTCTTGTAAAATTTTTGAAAAATGTATTGCTTGCTCCTCTTTGTGTTATATTCAATCTGTCACTGTCGTGCTGCTCTTTTCCAACGATTTGGAAAATTGCAAAATTATTCCAATTCACAAGAATGGTGACCTGTCTGAAATCTCAAATTATAGGCCAATTAGTATTTTGTCCAGTATTTCTAAACTATTTGAAATAGCATTATTTAATTATATTTATCCTGCCGTTCAAAGAATAATTTTTCCTCACCAACATGGATTTATGCAAAAGAGGTCCACACTAACAAATTTGGCATCTTTCACTGAATTTATGAATTTTAAACTAAAATGCTTTGGTTTTGTCAATTAATATCATTTTTTCGTACTTATCTTAATGATCGTTTTCAGTTTGTTACATACAATGGTTTCAGCTCACAAATGTTTGAAGTAACGTCCGGTGTGCCTCAGGGTTCAAATCTGAGCCCACTTATGTATTTAATGTTTATAAACGATATCTCGAATTGTTTTTCCTATAATTACCTTATTTTTGCGGATGATCTCAAAATCTTTGTAAAAATAGCTTCCACCGATGATTATTTACGTTTACAAACGAATATCAACAACTTAACTGCGTGGTGCTCATTAAATAAACTCAAGCTGAATATAAATAAATGTAAGGTGTTGTCATTTACAAGAAAGAGAAAACCTATAGTATATGATTATCATAATATAGACAGTTGGCCTTAGTCGCATTAATACTATTAAAGATCTTGGCATCACATTTGATTTCCGTCTCAGCTTTAAGGAGTAGTACTAGCGGTATAACGGAAATTCTTGAAAGATACTGCATTTTTTATACCACGGTGCCACTTGGTACAGTTGTTCCTTAGAGCCATTTAAACGATTGAACCCGAAGAACATTTCACATTTTCCGTGTGGGTAGATTTTAGAGGGGGGTGGGTGTGATTTATTGTAACATTTAAAAAAAACTAAATATGGCCTAGAGACGAGATCTGGGTGTCGATATCGTATGATTTTAACCCGAGGAATCCAATGGTAGCGCCAGAAATGTAATCCGGATACCGGAAGTCCGTGAAAAGCCGCCATTTTTAGAAAATGACAGACTTTTGATCGAATATATTTTTAAGGCACACCAGGTCGTGTAAGGTGTCTAGACTTATGTTTTTGGGGTCAGGGAATTCATTTTTGATAGCAAATATAACCGACTGGCATCTGAACTGCATGAGAAGCTTCCCTACTATACTTTTTGAAGACGTCGCACGCGGTGAAACCCAAGATATTCCAAAGTTGTAATATATAAACTTATAATATTTTATTTAATAAAAATACACATTAACAAAACATAAGATGTATTAAAACATGGGGTAAAAAATGTTTAAGACTATGAAGAATACCAAGTACATCGCTGACCTCCTTTGAGATTGCGTTATCACCACTGAAAAGGAGTTTGACATATAAATATTAAAGGTTCGGTAGTAAATTATATCAAAAGTATACAATAGTCTCCCATACATTTTTGGCATGCAGAGGAACATGGTAATCCGTGTCGCCGCAGCACGAGTTGGAGGAGCACATAAGGAGGGCGGCGTATGTCGCTGGCCATATCTGGGGATGTGCAAACCAGGTGATGAGAAGCTCTACAAGTCCAGAAGGATGGGGATGGACTCTTGAAGCCAAAGGCAGGAAAGTTCTGTAGTCCAAGCTGCCACAAGTATGGAAGGCAGTCCGTGCTCTGGGCAGGTGTGGCTGCGCGACAGGCTGCGAGACCCTTCGGTGCAGCTGCCGGCGACACGGATTGCCGTGTTCCAATCGAAAGAAGATTTTTTTCCTCGTCTAATGATATACGAATATTTTCAGGTGTATTTGTCACTATATTAGCAAAAACTCGAGAAATCCACTTACCAAAATCATGTTTAGCCATGACTAAGACAAAAAGCAGATTCAAACGTCGAAATCAATATCAGTTTATATGACGCCTGGCATTAATTTTTTTGTAAAATGCGGTTCACTGAGGAAAAAGTATTTATAATAAACAACGTTTTTATCATCACAAAAGCGTTGATTTTATGGTCGCTTTTGCGGCCATAAAGTTTCACTTTATTGTACGCTTCTATCAAACTTTACTTTATTGTACGCATCTGTCAAACTGTACTTATTTGAAACTGATGTGTGAGAAACAGTAATCTGTTTTATACAAAGCGTCTATCTGGTCTCGCCCCATCAAGGATTGAGCCATCCACGTGCGTTTTTTTCATTTTCGGACTTGTAGGAATGTTTCACACCATTTGGCATAATCACAATGTTCACATTTAAAATTATAGTTTGACGTTTTGCTGCTTGCAGACCTTTTTGAAGTGTAGAACCAAAACATGAGGAAGATGTTATTGCTTACATTATTATACGAAGAATCACCAGCAATTAACCGAGAACACAAGTACCTACGTATACCTACCATCAAAGTAGGTAATCAGGTTTCCAATAATTGTACAGCATGTTAACTATAAGGTCTTGGAAGCCACAGTTACGAAGGACCTATTGCATTTGACATTATTAAAATCTTGTGCAGCGGAGGAAGTTGCGATTGTACTTTTACTCTCAAACGCCTGCTCGCAACGCTTGCAGCTTCCAAAATTTCATTTTGGGTAGGTATCTGAACTGTCGCTATCACCCATTTTGATACGCACAACACACGCAAAGATGCTAATTATAATTTATTACATATGACAGGAAATGCTTGATTTTAATTGTCTAAGATATGATTTTCAGAAAAAATATGTTTATGAGCAAATTTTTGAATTCTTTTTTGATGATCGCCTAAAAAATGTTGTGTGCACCTTGACCAAAAGTGATTTTTTAGGCCTCATCTGAATTGCGGCGTCGGCTACCGCCTCGGCCACAAACAGCAGCTTCGGCCAAAAAAGATCACTTTTACGGCCTTGGTACACAAATAACTATTACAGCGGAAATGTTTAGTACGCGATATTTGTTTTCCGTGCATGTTAAAACCTATCTTAATTCGTTAGGAAATTTCCATAGCTTAACATGATTTTGCTAATTGGATTTATTGCCGAATGTTTGATAAAATAATGAGAAATACACCTGAAAATAAGCTAATTCGTATATCATTAGATGAGAAAAAAATCTTCTTTTGATTGGTGTCATTACAAACCCTCTAAATTAACATGGGGGCAACGATCGGCAAAAAACGTTTTTCGCATGTTAATTTCCTACGTTCGGTTTTAAAATATTCCCCGATATGTGAAATTCCTTTTCAGTGGTGATAACGCAATCTCAGAGGAGGTCAGCGATGTACTTGGTGATCCTTCATAGGCTTATAAATTGTTTACCCCATGTTTTAATATATTTTATGTTTTGTTAATGTGTATTTTTATTAAATAAAATATTACAAATTTATATAGGTATTAAAACTTTGGAATATCTTGGATTTCACCGCGTGCGACGTCTTCAAAAAGTGCAGTAGGGAAGCCTCTCATGCAGTTCCGATGCCAGTAGGTTATTTTTGTTATCATAAATGAATTCCCTGACCCCAAAAACATAACTCTAGAAACCTTACACGACCCGGTGTGCCTTAGAAATATAATTCGATCAAAAGTGTGTCATTTTCTAAAAATGGCGGCTTTCCACGGACTTCCTGTATCCGGATTACATTTCTGGCACTACCATTGGATTCCTCGGATTAAAATCATGCGAAATCGACACCCAGATCTCGTCTCTAGGCCATATTTAGTTTTTAAAAAAATGTTACAATAAATCACCCCCATCCCCTCTAAAATCTACCCACACGGAAAATGTCACGTTGAATCTTTGTGTTATGTTTTTAAAAATAAGGCATTATTCTCCTTTAATTCCGATTACCACAAATATAATACAAGATCAAAAAATAATTTTGCAATAACCGCCTCCAAAAGTAAAGTGTATGACACATCACATCTACAAATGGGTCTACGATTTTACAATGCTCTCCCTAGAAATATCAAATCTATATCGGCATTCGTCCCATTTAAAAATAAAATTCGGAAAATACTTAACACAATGGCACCATATTCACTGGAAGACTTCTTCACAAATATCGCAATTTATTAACTGTACTTTTTTATCGAAATTTTTATATACATTTAATATTGTTATGTTGTTGTTTGTTTAATTTATATCATAGTCTATTTAAAATTTATCTTTACATTTAATATTGTTATGTTGTTGTTTGTTTGATCTATATTATAGTCTATTTACATTTTATCTTTATACATTTATATGAAGTTGTAATTGTTCCAATGGTATACCACAAAAGTGGTTCAATAAACGATCTCTCTCTCACGTGTTCTTCGGGCCAAATCGTCTAAATGGCTCTAAGGAACAGCTGTACCAAGTGGCACCTTGGTATAAGAAAATGCAGTATCTTTTGGTATACCGCTAGTACTAGAGCACATACATCTAATTTGCTCCTCAGCTATGAAAACTCTGGGCTTTATCATAAGGAATACTAAGCAGTTTAAAAACATCAACTTATTATTTCGTTTGTATAACTCCTTGGTTCGCTCGAAGCTTGAGTACTGCAGCGACCTCGTATGGTATCCACTATACAAAACATCTAAAAACGACATTGAGAGTATTCAACGAAGATTTTTAAAATTCATTATTTTCAAAATTGATGGTGAATATCCACAACGTGGTGTTCCTCAGGACACGATGTTACCATGTTTTAACACCTATTCAATGGAACAGAGACGAGTCGCGAATAGATTAAGTTCCTTTACAAACTAACCAACAGACAATAGTCATTTAGATTGTCCCTACTTACTTCACAAGCTATGCTTTACCATACCAACGCATTCTACTAGGCACTTAAAAATCTTCACATATCCTACTCCCAAATCGAATCTCCTTCGCAGAACTCCCTCCTTAATAATGTCCTAATAAGATTTGCCAGAACTGTGACATTCATTACAACTCATTATGCAATGTTTTAAGCTTTGTTTATGGTTAACTGAACATTGTAATTTTGGTTTGTGCTTTCTATCTTAAAAGCGTGTCATCATCCTTTTTTTGCTTCATTTTCTTTACTTTATTTATTTTTAATTCTCTTTTCATCGATATTCTATTTTTAGTTTAGAACTTAAATGTCAAAGGTATTTATTTATTTTACTAGTTACAATTACCTACTACAATATTTATATTGATTTTATGTTTTCTATTTTAAATATTAGTTCCTAGTTTTAATAATGCAGTATGCGCTTAACGATTCATTTATCTTTTTTGTGATTGTTCATATATGGATTATGAGTCTGTTGAACAACAATAAACATTATTATTATTATTATGGTCGGTGTATCTTGTGAGAACTCAGGTCTAGCCTGGTTAACTAATCGCACGGATTAAAATCAAGTAACGATTAGTGTCTGTCACACACGTACATTGGACATCTAGGGATAGTATGTAATTCGTACTTACCAACATACCTATTGATGGGCACAATAGCCAACGCTATCAGGAAAGTGGAAAACAAACCAAAACAAAATAAATCATTATAATAATTTCTGTAATTTTATTAAATGGAGTTTATTGTGTGTTTCTTTGGCTTTGCGTTTGGGTTGAATACGAGTGGGTTGTGATAACGTGGTGTGTTTCTGTGAAGAAGGAGTTTTGTGTTTTTTAATTGTATTTATGGTGTTTCTTTGTTCCTGAGGTCGTATTTGTGAGGTTGCATGGGTTTTTGGTGGAGATATTGCAGTATTTTGTGAGCCTGTGGTGCTGTTAAGGTTTTTGCGCTTCGGTTGTATGCGAGTGGGTTGTTTCTGAGAAGAAGGAGTATTGTGTTTTTTAACTGTGCTAGGGCGTGTAACTTTATTGGATGTTTTTGGTGGAGATATTATAGTATGTTGTGAGCCTGTAGTTCTGTTAAGGTTTTTGCGTTGCGGTTGAATACGAGTGGGTTGTGATAATGTGGTGTGCTTCGATGAAGAAGGAGTTATGTGTTTTTTAACTGTGCTAGGGCGTGTAACTTTATTGGGTGGACCTGTCTTTGTAGTACATGTTGCGTTACTTGTATTTATGGTGTTTCTTTGTTCTTGAGGTTGTATTTGTGAGGTTGCTCGATTGAATGTGTAAACGTGTACAAAAATCAAAAATTATCCACAATCTTTTACAGATAACAATAATTATTAAAAAATTTACATAGGCGATAAAAGTAACAAATATGTCCAGTAGAAAGTTTCAGCCAAAGTAAGTATAAAAGTATTACTAGTCAATCTGTCGTTTATTTCGTAATATCCGAATGGAACTTCAAAAAATTAAATTTAGATATCTAAGCCTGCGCATTAATACAGTCGCTCCCGCGCGCTTTACCGTCAGCGTTTCGATCGAACATTACAGAGCTATTTTCAGATTGTTGGTGTCGTAAATGGTAAGTACACGGCGTCTGTATTTTTTTTTAGAACAGTGATTTTTAGAAACATGAACGATTGTCAAAGCGCATCACCGTCGTCAGATATTCTATCGGATGGAATGGATACTCTTTCGATACCAGATAAAACAGGGTTAAGGAAATCAATTCCGAAGCATAATAATTATAAGGCTGGATATATACCCGTTCATGAGCAAGATATTCAAACGTCAAATATTAGAGGCAGGAAGACGTTTGCTTTTTGGACTCTGGTGTTTCTTTTGTTCATTTTAGCTATAGGAAACTTGATTTTGACAGTTGTCATTTTGGGAGTGTTACGTTTGGGTCAAGGGATGCAAAGTTTAGAGTTAATACCCGAAGATTTTGTTCTGAAATTTATGGGAGAAACGGATTTAGGAAATATCTATAAACGCGACGGCAAAATAGAAGGCTATGCAAATATTCCGGTAGTAATTGTTGCCGATAATGGATCAGTTGTTGTCAACTTAGCAGTGAAATATGGGAGGTCAATAAATAAACTTAAAATTGACCAAAATGGAACAATAGTGAGAAATATTGACGAATTTGAGGTGAAAAACGCCGACGATGACACGGTCTTCTCCACACACTCTAGAAAATATGTTAAATACAAAAATGTAACTAATATTAGTGCTAGTATGGTGGAAACAAATCGAGTTGTTAGTCCTATAGGCAAAGAATTAATTCTAGGCGGTGAAAACATTTATTTTAAAGGAGCGGAAGGTACTAATATGGAAAGTAAATCCTTATCGTGGGATGCCGATCAAGATATTCGCTTTGAATCTAGGTCTTTGTTAATTAACAGTAGTGCTATATTAATTGTTGACACAGTTTTATCTAAGCACAATGAATTTAGCAAAGCTCAATATAAAGTTTGTATTTGCATGCCGCAGGGTAAACTCTTCAAGTTGCGATTACCGAGCACAAACGCAAAAATATTTTGCGACCAAGTTGCTTCAAATCCATGCATGTAATGTTTGATAATGGTAACGGATAATATTGATTAACACCTATTAAGTACTCTCATTCCAAGTAGGCTTTTTTGCTAGGTAGATTCAGTTTCAAATAAATTTGTCGTGTGAACAATAAATACATATTAAGTACTATCTATTTATTTATTTATTTATTTTTAATTTGTTGCCAGTACGTTCACTAAATATGTATATACACATTAACAACACGTACGCAAAAATGTGTCACATGGTTACAAATAATAAAAAGTAAAAACACATGGACATGCAAATATATAAAATTTTTAGACATAAACAAATGGGGAACAATATATACAAGTAATAAAAAGCACTTAAAAGACTTATTTTTTTCTTAAAAATTCATCTAAATGGTAATTAGTCTGTTTAAGCAAAAACAGTTTAAGTGTTTGCTTAAATCTTTGATATTACAGGGTAAAGCGTTAAAAATTTGGCAGGTACGAAATAACAAATTTTTTTGAAACAGCGTATGTTGACCAGGGTTCAATCTACTATCTAACTACTTTTACTTTAAGGCGAGGCTTTACCTAGCGAAACCGGGCTTATTTCATGCAATAGTTTTTCCGCTTTTCCTATTTTTTGATAGAGCTGTGCGGTTTTCTCTGTTTGAAAGAATAAAGTCTGTTACTTTGCAGAATTCAAAAATTTTAATTAAATGTATGCGTCCCCACTCCATAGCCGTTACGTTCGGCTTTGTCCTCGGAATTTTCCTAGCGATATCCCCACGCGCTATCGTTTCTCCCGTGGGCCGTGGTTACTGATGTTCCGATACCACCAAATGAGTAGTACTAGTACCAGTACTAGCTCAAATTGTAGAAATGCCATCGGGGGAAAGAAGTACTGTCACATCTGGTGTTCCACAGGGTAAAGAATCTTTAACAAATAAAACTCTCACTCTTCAGATCGTAGGGCCCACATTGCAGCAAGACATATTCTCAATTTTAATATTAAATTTCATAAGCACGCTTTCCTCATCTCGGCTGACATTGAAAAGATGTATCGTCAGATTCTGTAAAGCTTTCCCAAAGGCTCTTGCAAAGAATTCTCTGGATCAAGGATGATCTATTAGGAAACGCGATAAAATTTTTACTGAAATAAAGATCATTAAAGAATCTACTAATGTGAGATTTCGTGTTCAAACTAACAACCCGAAATATGTTTCTCTTGTCTTATTTATTCACTTGCTTCTCTACCTCAAACATAAATTATCTTTGTCTACCTTAAGAACTTCATACTATTCTGAGAACCAATAGAGGTCGCCACTGACAAATTACATTGTAAAATTATATCAAACTGTGAGAATGACTCCTGGGCTTATCATTTTTTAGCGTGGTTTTTGAAAATATAAATTCTACATACATTACTCTAGAGCGACTATACCGGGTGAATATTTTAAAACCGAACATAGGCAATTAACATGGGAAAAAGGGTTTTTGTAGGTAGTTGCTCCCCATGTTAACTTAGAGGGTTTCTATGACACCAATCAAAAGCAGGTTTTTTTTGTCTCATCTAATGATATACGAATTAGTTTATTTTCAGGTGTATATCTCATTATTTTATCAAAAATTCGGCAATAAATCCAATTAGCAAAATCATTTGAAGCCATGGAAAACAAATATCGCGTACTAGAGTAACACTATTTCCGCTCTAAACGGTGTTTATTATAATTCTCTTTTTCTTCAGTGAGCCGCATTGATTTCGATGTTTGACTCTGATTTTTGTCATACTATAGAGCATTCGCACCTTAGTATGCAGTATGGGGTCTTATGGACTATATCCCTCCTTTACTAATTTGCGTCATTCTTCAATAACGCTATCCTTATTCCTTACCGCAATGATGCCAAACTTACATATGATTGAATTTAAGCTTTAAAACAAAATATAACGTCAAATCTTCTTGTATTGTCATTACGTGTGTGGTTCGTTTTTGTCTTTCCTATTTAACACATTTTATTGTCTCATTGCTTTAAAAATCGTTCTTTTAAGAACGCCTCCATGTCGTACTTTTATATACAAGGTAACTTTGAGTGTTCTTGTAGAACCGTTATTTGATTTCATCTTTTTAGAATATCCCATTAAATGGAAGCCGAAGCTGAAGCAGGATCTGCTAATGTGAAACGCCATAAAGGAGAGTGTTTTAGCCGGAAGGAGAAACACCTCATTATCAACGTGCTGAACTATTTCTCGGGAACGATGAACGTTACTGCAGCTGTGAAAGGAGCAAGTAAAGCTTTATGTTGTTCTGAACGGAGCATCTATGCCATTAAAAAGGAAGACGGAAACGAAGGTGTATCAAGCCCGAAAAAACGCAAGCAAAGAAAAGGGAAACAAAGCAATGATCGTCTTCATGTGTATGATGAAAATGTGCAATCAGTTATTCGACGTAAAGTGCATAACTTCTTCATTACAAATATTCCACCAACTATGAACAGCATCTTAGCTTCCGTAAATGACGATAACGATCTACCCAACTTTAAACGCACCACATTATTCAATCTCTTGAAAGATATGGGTTTTGAATTTAAGAAGGTTGGCCGCAAGAGTATCCTTATTGAACGGGATGATATTATACGATGGAGACATAAATACCTACGTCGCATCAGGAAGTTGAGAGAAGAAGGTGCTTAATCTTTTTATTATATTTAATTGCAAATTACCTAATATTTATATTTTAGGTAAAAATATTGTGTATACGGATGAGTCATGGGTTAACATTGGTCATTCGGTGAGCAGGGCGTGGCATGACACCACCGTTGAAAGCAATCGTCAGGCATTCATCAAAGGACTCAGTACAGGTTTAAAGTCACCCACTGGTCTAGGGCCTCGCTTTGCGTTAGTACATGCTGGTGGTGATAATGGTTTTATTCCGGGCGCGGAACTGACTTTTCTCTGCAAAAAGAACCCTGCTGATGCACACAACGAAATGGATGCAGACACTTATGAAAAGTGGTTTTTTGAACAGCTTCTACCAAATGTGCCACCGAATTCAGTCATTGTTATTGACAATGCCTCGTACCACAGTAGAAAGTTGGAGAAGATACCAACAATGTCGTGGAGAAAAGAACACATTATAGATTGGCTTCGTGAGAAAAATGTACCGATTGAAGAAAATCCATTAAAACGAGACCTACTGGCTTCTGTTGCGCATGTTCGGCATCACTACGACAAAAATAAGCTTGATGTTAAGAAAAAGGTTACGAGATTCTCCGTTTACCTCCATACCATTGTGAATTAAATCCCATTGAAATGGTGTGGGCTCAAGTTAAACATCATATCAAAATGAATAACAAAACATTTAAAATAAAGGACATGGAAGAATTAATAAAAATGGATTATTCACAAGTTACGGTTCAAAATTGGCAACATTATGTCAATCACGTGAAAACTATCGAAGATGGCATGTGGGCAGCAGATTATCTTCAAGATGATGTTGAAGAATATATAATTCAAGTGTCGCAGTCATCTTCCGATGAATTTCAATTCGATTCCAGTGACTAATATGTACAGGGTGTTTTTTTGGGAGCTTTAGTTAAAAGTTTCTGGGAAAGTAAAATAGGTAGGTTTTTGAAAATTTGTACTTAGGAGTTACTCTGAAGGCCGAATCTATGTAAAATATTTTCAAAATGTCCGCACTTCCGGAAACACCGGAAGTAGATAGTAATTCCGTTATTTTAAATCGCAACCGCTATTTTTTATTGCATTTTTGGATTCCACGTGAAATTTCAGTTCTTTTGATACCCATATGTCGATATCTGCCAGTTATGGTTATTAAGTTATTTTGACTTTAAGAAACAAAATTGCGGATGCAGATGGTACCTTGATAATTGATTACTTGAAAAAGGTTATAGTCATGGCAACCCATTTTTATCAGTGCGTAGAGACTGAATAGGGCTTTCTTTTAGTGTACTTAAAAAAAGTTATGTTGCGTACAACCGCCCCTATGGAGATCCAAATTTAAGAAACTTCAAAGTCTATAAACTCAGTTTTTTTAAATGGAATGACCAATGCATGAGATAGAGAATCGAAATTGGCATATTTTGATATTACATGTTCCTATAGCTATCTTTAACAGTTTCTGATTTATTCCCATTTCATTGAATTGATCTCGGAATTGATGCCATTTTTTTCGCATTTTCTTTTTAGTAGTTGGCCATGATTTTATAACAATCGAATTTTAAACAAATCAAGGAATGGATTCTTTAATACCATTGATTCTAGTTCTAGTATAAATAATTCATTAATAAATAACTCATTTATTAAGGATATAGGACGGAAAATTTTTGAAAAATCTAAACAGAGTCGTTCAACTGAATTTCTTAAACAAGTCTGGAAATTAAGAGAGGTAATGCGATATCTGTTCTAGCAACAATTCCATACCAAAAATGTTTCAACGAAGTTTTTTATATTTTGCATTGAATTTATTTTGTTAATCTTGCATTTGCAATTCAATTCATTCTCTTAAATATTCTCTTGTAGAGCTTTGTATCACTTGTGCTTCAACGGTTTGTAGTGCATTAGGGGTACAAAATTTCCAAAATTCATACAATTTCGTTCCAGTTTTTGAATGAATGTACGGAAAGCACGCGCCGCGATTCTGCCCATTTCACCATAAATAACAATTAAATTCCAAAATAGGTGAAACCACTGCGAGTCATTTTTCGATTTTTGAAAAACTTGTTAACCTATAACAGTGGGTGATGGATTAGTGTCACTAGATTTGTTTAAAATTCAATTGTTATAGAATCATGGCCGACTACTAAAAAGAAAATCCGAAAAAAAATAGTGTCAATTCAATAAAATGGGAATAAGTCAGAAACTGTTAAAGATAGCTATAGGAACATGTATAGTCAAAATATGCCAATTTCGATTCTCTATCTCATGGAATAGTAAGAACATGGTCATTCCATTAAAAAAAAACTGAGTTTTTAGTCTTTGAAGTTTCATAAATTTGGATATTCATAGGGGCGGTCGTACGCAACTTAACTTTTTTTAAGTGCACTAAAAGAAAGCCCTATTCATTCTCTATGCACTGATAAAAATAGGTTGCCATGACTACAACCGTTTTCAAGTAATCAATTATCAAGGTACCATCTGCATCCGCCATATTTTTTCTTAAA